CACCAACCGCTCGGTGGAAGAAAGATGAGGTTTTCTGCTTTCCCTAAAGGCCTGCACCCTCAGAAGCCCACGGGAGCAGTTCTGCCCTGTCCTACAGGATCGCCATGAGGCAGAGTGGCTCGATGGCAGGCAGTGAGTGTGAGGCCACGTAGAAGGCGACCAGGAGCCCTGCCCACCCGGCTCCATCCTCCTCAGCTGGATTTGGCAGGACATCTCGTTAGGAACTGACGGGCATATGGGGACAGGGGCAGCATCTCTCTGATAGGAAATAAAATCCTGGGGGCAAGACTAGCATTACCCCTTGTTTCATAGCCAAGGAAGCACCCTGATCAGTCTCACACTTCTTCACCTCCCAGGAGTCAGCAGAGGGCCAGGCGCCTTGGCATGAGAGAGGGAAGGGCCAGGCTTGCTGGCCCACCCCACCTCCCCTACTCACTGCCCCACTGCTCACTTTAGCCCCTCACCACCACTTTAAGGTAAACAGGCCAGGTCAAGGGGCCACGTCCTTCCACACTCTAGGCTCTGTGTCCTGCCTGTGTGGTGGGTGGGGTTGGACGGGTGACCAGGCAGCCGCTGGAGCCTGGCAGGCACCGTGCCTGAAGTCCCACCCTTTCTGCAGTGCCCTGTTTGATTAGATTTCCCCAATCTGGGTTCCACATTCAAACCCGCTCTGTGGTCACCCAGCTCGTGACATCCCTAGAGCCCCAAGACCACCCCCTAGGGAGTGTGGTGTGAACTGCGGCTGGAGGTCTGGGCCAGACAGAGGCCCCCTGGGCTCTGGCTCCATGAAGCCTGGCCCCTCCCCAGGAGAATGAGAAGGGAGTCATTAGAATAGAATGGCGTGCTAGACTCAGCTGGGGGCAGGCTGGAGGCACGCATGTTATCTCAATGCCCAGAGTGCAGTCATGGGACCGTCTCAGGCTCACGCTATGGGTCACAGATGCACACAGTGAGCCTGGCCACCCTCAGCCAGGGGGTTAGCGAGAGGGCATGGGGGTGGGGGAAGCAGATCTGCAAAGGTCCAGGCAGCCATGCCCACAAGGGCTGCCACACCCGAGGGACAAGGCGCCTTCTAGAAGCTCCCCCAACAGTGCCTGAGGTCACACTGCTAACCCCAGAATCCTGGAAGGGATCCCACCGGCCTCTCCCCTCCTGCTCTGTCGAAGCACCGAAAAACCCAGACCCACTGCCCTTGAGTCCAGCTCGATCCCCGGCGATCCTGCAGGACAGAGTGGAACTGCTCCTGAGGGTTTCTGAGACTGTAGCTCTTTTTGGGAGTAGACGGCCTCGTCTGTCCCCCTGGGAGAGGCTGGTGGGTTCGAACGGCCTGCCTTGCCATTAGCAGTGCAACGTGTAACCACTGCGCCACCAGGGTACCGCCCCTATGCATGCACAAAAGCCCTAGAAAGGCGTGACAAAACTCAAGCACTGCCCATTCCCACCACCTGTCTGCCTGGTGGGTCTTTTTGAATAGGATGAACTGACAAGCTAGGTGTCGCTGAGAGGGGCCACAAAGCCCACCAGTGCTGGTGCTCCTGGAGTCCCTTCTGCCTCACAGTGGCCCGTGCTTATCAGACAGAGCAGGCTGCTCCATAGACTCCCGATGGCTCGGCTTGCCAGAAGTGATGCCAGCACTCTCCGTCTATTTTGCATGGACTGCCCCCAAGTTCAAGTTCAAGTTGAAGAAGTTGGTGAGTGGCCCACCACTCCTGCCATGACCCAGCCTACCACCCCTGCCACAAGCCAGCCTACCACCCCTGCCACCAACCCAGGATACCACCCCTGCCACAACCCAGCCTACCACCCCTGCCACCAACCCAGGCTACCACCCCTGCCGTGACCAAGCCTACCATCCCTGCCACGACGCAGCCTACCACCTCTACCATCAACCCAGGTTACCACCCCTGCCACCAACCCAGGCTACCACCCCTGCCACGACCCAGTCTAACACCACTGCCACCAACCCAGGTCACCACCCCTGCCACCAGCCCAGGCTATCACCCCTGCCACCAACCCAGGCCATTACCCCCACCACCAGCCCAGGCTACCACCCTGCCACAACCTGGCCTACCACCCTGCCACCAACCCAGGCTACCATCCCTGCTACCAACCTAGGCCACCACCCCTGCCATGACCAAGCCTACCATCACTGCCATGACCTGGCCTCCCACCCCTGCCACCAGCCCAGGCTACCACCTCTGCCACCAACCCAGGTCACCACCCCTGCCCCCAAGTCCAAGTTGGTGAAGTAAGCCGTGTGGAGTTTCACTAAAACAGACCAGCCTCTGGGCAGCTTTGAACTGCCAACTTTTCGGTTAGCAGCCAAGCACTTTGACTATTTGTACAGCCTACTTGAACAGCCCCGTGTTGGAAGACATCTAGCCAGTATGGTCCTTCGAGTGGGGATGGCAAGACTTGACCACCGATGTGGTAAAGGGGTCAGCAGGAAGGGCTGGGCCCTGGAGGAGGCCATCCTGCTTGGTAAGACGGCTCAAACACAGGAGCGATTGAGAAAGTGCTGCAGGACTGGGAAGTGCCTCATTCTGCTGGATAAAGGGCTACCCTGGGCATAGTGAGTTACGACTTTGGTGGGCGAACCACAAGGTCATCAGTTTGAAACCACCAGCCTCTCTGTGGGAGAAATATGAGGCTTTCAGTTCCAGCAAGGAGGGACAGTCTCAGACACCCAGAGGGGCAGCTCTACTCTGTGCTGGGGGTTTGCTGGGGGGACAGGACTGAGTCCAGTGCCGTAAGTAGGATGAATCATAGAGACTTCCGGTTTCTGGATGCCGGATCCTGGCCCTCGAAGTCTGGGAAGCCCAAACATCAAGGATCTAGACTGCTGGAGCCCAGTCTCCTAGAATTTCAGGGCCTCAAGACAGAACAGGGGGCTGATGACCCAGCCTCTCATTACCATACAATCCTCCCTTCAAAGTTCTGGAGCCCCTTTGGGGAAGAGCCTGCCTCCTGGGATCTTGTACCCCAAATCTCTGCTCTATCCCCCTCATGCAGCAATTGGAGGGCTCCTTGACATCCCTTCCTATGCCCCCTACCCCCGACCCCTCCTTCTCTCTAGCCATGATCACCCTGTCCCTAAATACTCCTCGCCTCTGCTCCCTGCCTTCCCCAACTGGTGCTTCCACACAGTATTTAGACATGGGCTCTCTTCCATATTAACTATCCTTGAAAAAGAAGAGGAGGAGGAGGAGGAGGAAACAGAGTTGGAGGTAGAAGACGAGGGATATTCCTCATGGTTGTCATTGTCACTGTCAGGGATAGGAAGAAATGCAGTGCTGGGTTGATCCCCCACCCCCACCCCCTCCAAACACACTGTCACCTTAGCCACAAACCAAAAGAGCCCGAGGGCCCCCATCTAGCACGACAGAGCGCTCTGATACAAGATGACCAAGAAGAACCCCTGATCAAAAGTAGGGGAGGATGTGGGGCAGGATTTCTATTCTCCTAGAATCCAGACTTTCTGGAGCCACGGAGGCTGGACGGGCCCCGGGCACTCCTGCCCAGAGGTCCTCTCTAACCTGGAAATGAGATACCACAAACCCCTCTGAAGCCCTCTGGGGTGACTAGTTCAGACAGACAGATGGCCTGGTGCCTACTGTGGGGGGAGGGGAGGAGTCCCAGCAGCCCAGTGGTCCCCAGATGGGCCACCCAACCACAAGGTCACCAGTTGGAAACCACCTGCGACTCCATGGGACAGAGGAATGTCTTTCGACTCCCGTCAAGAGCGATCGTCTTGGAAATCCACAGGGGACAGCTCTGCCCTGTCCTATGGGGTTGCTATGGGTGGGTACGGACTCGACAGTGGAGGGGTTGGTTGAGTGAGGACTGGCACAGCGGCTGGAAAGGTGGGTTCAGAAGCCTCACGTCAGGGCCCAGGCTGGAGAAGCTGGCTGGGAGGGGCTGCCCAGTCGAAGCACGTCCCCACTGTCCTGTGTCCAGTCTGTAGGAACTGGCCAGCGGGCGTGCTCTGCTGTGTGTTTTCAACAGCAACCAAGCCGCCAGCCAAAGGCGGTCCCCGCTCTGGCATTTTGGGAGCCCAGCGGCACAGCAGGGTCCCTGGGAATCACATTGACTCGATGGCAACGAGTTTGGTCAGCTTGCCTTGTGGTGGCACCGAGACTAACTGAAACGTCGGCCGTTCAAACCCACCGGGTGCTCACGGAGAGATGAGATCTAGTGGTCGGATCCTGTGAAGGTCACATAGCCACAGGCGGGGGTGGGGGTGGGGTGCTCAGGTTAGCCAGGGTGTTCAGGGTGGAATGGGCTGGACAGTACGCAGCTGGGTGCCTGCCCCCACCAGACACCATCTCACCTCACTGCACAACCCACTCCCCTGACACACCTGTGTGCTCGCCCTCTGCTGCCAGGCCCAGTATCATCAACCTGACCCTGGAGAGCCAGCTGGACCCTACTGATCTGGCCCTCCACGAGGCACCCTGTCTGTCCCCAGTCTCTGGCCATCTCCCAGGGGGACTCACAAGTCCCTCCAAGAGGCTTTGTTAACAGGGGGTGGAGGGGAGGGGCAGGGTGGTTCCCAGGGTAGCGGGGGTTCCATCAATGGGGGTTCATTCTCCCTGCAGAAGCACTCTGACCATGAGCAATGGTCCTGCTCTCCTGGCCACGCAGCTTTTCAGCCAGAAGCCACGTGGCAGATGGTGGTCTACAGCGGGGGGTGCAGAGAGGTTACACCCAGACAGCATCTGAGCCTTCCTGGGCCAAAAAAGCCGAATGGCAAAGGTGCCGTAAACTGATGACAGGTCCTGACTCCAGAGGGAGTGCCACACGCCCTGGCTGAGGGACACACAGCCAAATGTGTCTGAGGCATATGGGCAGCAGGAGCAGGGCCGGGGCTGGGGCTGATAGGGTCAGGCCCACCCCTTGCTTGCCTGGCCAGCCACCCTGTGAAGTCCCAGCCAAGGGTGGGGTCTGTGGGTTGTGGCTGAAGCCCAGGGACATGGGCAGGGGATCTCTGGGGTGGGTACCTCCTGTTCTGGATTGTCCACTGGCCCTGAGTACACGGGAGGTCATATTTCTGCCGCCGCAGGGCGTAGGCATCAAACCAGAGGGCTAGGCCGTAGTCCAGAGAAGGGACCTGGAGGGTGGTGTCCATGTCAGGGGCTGTTGGGGCAGCATGGGTGATGGGGCACAGGGAAGGTGGACAGGGGCTCACCGTGAGGTGCCAGGAGCAGTGGGTGCTGGGCGAGTAGTAGCTGGGGAAGTATGGAGTGCTGAGCACGCCCTGCAGGTCCAGCCGGTCCTCCAGGGTCAGGTTCGCCTCGCAGGCTGGGCCGGTCGGAGGGAGAGCATTACACCAGGGCGCTTGACCAGGGTGCCCAGCTGCACAGCCTCCCACCAAGGCACCCCATCCCCACCACCACCAAGTCTATCATCCCCAGCACCACCCAGGCCACCATCCATCCTTGTCACCAACCAGGCCATTGTCACTACCTCCACCCCTGACATAACCCGGCCTACCACCTCTGCCATCAACCCAGCCTACCACCCCTGCCACAACCCGGCCCACCACTCCTGCCATGACCCAGCCTACCACCCCTGCCACAAGCCAGCCTACCACCCCTGCCATCAGCCAGCCTACCACCCCTGCCACCAACCCAGGCTACCACCCCTGCCGTGACCAAGCCTACCATCCCTGCCACAACGCAGCCTACCACCTCTACCATCAACCCAGGTTACCACCCCTACCACCAACCCAGGC